AACACCGCATCCGCCACCCAAACCTCAGCCTCCGACGCGCAGCTCATCGTCACGGAACAAATCTCAGAGTACCATGCGATTCAGAAAATAGGCAGGTAGATATGGTGACATTTTTCTTTTGAAATGTGGGATACCCGGGATACTTTTCTGTAGTTGTCACGTTGTCTGAATCTTGAAAGACGAGTTATTTACTTTGTCCTTTCGCGCAGCAGAAAACCTAGCCCGGCAGAAGTTTCGAGGAATGCTTTCAGGGGGCTCAGCATTCTCCGAGACCCTTGCTGCTGTCGGGTCACTGCCACAGACACGTCCGTCCCCGTAGCACTGGCCTCCCCAAGACTAACGGACGCGGTGTGGGCCTTTCATGAAAGAGGGATTAGGAAACTGTGGCTTCTATCCGTAGCAATTAAAAATAGAAAAACTCCATCTGGACATTCTTTACTGTTTTCCTGCATCTGCCATCGATGTTTCCTTTTCTCCGAAACATTTTGAACTCCTGCAGCCCCTGGGCACTCCCTCTCGCCTGTTCTCCAAGCATGCGGTCTGCCGCCCGTGGTACGAAATCGGGGAAAACTCAGATCGCATTGCAGTGTGTCAGCATCGCTCACACTGTGCCTAGCACATGGTTACTTATTCGGTAGATATTTGTTGAAAGCATGAATGAATGAATTTTAATGTCACCGGCAACTTGGTCTAAATCTTATCTGTACTTGAAAGCATATGGAAATTAGAACAGTGAGAGTAATTGGAGCAAATTAGATTTTCTATGTTAAAAGCCGAAATAGATGTCTCCTTTTTTAAATAGCACCATTAGCACTACTCCAGGTCCTCGCAGCACTTTTAGGTCCGGCCACTATGTGATATTTCACAATAAAATGTGACTACATTATAGAAAGAAACATCTAAACATGCAAAAGGTGATGAGTACAAATTTTGTAAGAAAGCCATTTAAAGTGAAATGAACACACATTCATTTGCTTATTCCAGCATTACTTAATGACTATCTTTTTGCCAAATACTTTAGTAAGTGACAGATACACAAAGATTTGGGGAGGGGACCTTGGGAGGAGATAGCTTCACTGATGCGTAACTCACGTGCTGTACAATTCACCTATTTAAAGTGTGAAATTCAGTGACTTTTAGTGTATTCACAGTTGTGCATCCGTCATCACAATTAATTTCAGAAGACTTCATTACTCCAAAAAGAAATCCTCCACCCTTTAGCAGAAACCCCTATTTCTCCCCAAACACACTCCACTGCCACCCTAGTCAACTGCTAATATATGAGGGAGGACCCCCCCAAAAAATGGAATTATCTCCTGGAGATGGGCCCCTGTAGTCCAGGCTTCCCCCACTAAGTGAATGTTCTAGGAACCCACCTGCATTAATGTGCCAGCTGGCATTGTTGTGAGAGGCTGTGTTCGGCTTCAGCGAATGTGTTTGAAGACCCGATGCATTTGCCCCCTTTCATGACAGGTGATAGACGAGCGCACCTGCCCACACTGCGCTGAGTGTTCAGCGGTTTTTAACCAAAAATGGCATGACCCCTGTGCCACCCTCCTTATTCACCTGACCTCACCCAATTCTCTGGATAAAAAAAGTCCTCAAAGCGAAACGTTTTGCCCGTGTTGGAAGAGGTAAAACAAAAAAATGGCAGGAGCACAACAAGGCATCAAACGGGACGAGTTCAAAAGCTGAGCAGCCGAAAAAGCGTCTAGACAGGCTCCCTGCATCCAATGGAGAGAGCTTCGAGGGTGACCGAAGCTTAAACGTAAGAACAAACACGCAGTTTCTATAAATAAATCTTGGGTTGTGGGGGGCCCCCCTTGTACTTTCTGGGTGCACGCATCCGACTCTTCTGGACACCGGCGTACACGGAGTCACACAGCACGTGATCTGTCCTGCCCGGCCCGCCTTCCCTCAGCTCCATCCCCGTGGAGTGTGCGTCAGCGTCCGTCCTTTCTGACCACCACGCACGGTCTCACCGCGGAGGCCCCGCGGGCAGGCACGCGTCCACCTCTCAGCGAGCCGGCCTTCCCGCTGCCAGGGACGGTGCCGATGTGGGCATTCGTCCGCCGCCTCTGCTCGGACGTCTGTGTCCACGTCTCGCGGGTGAACCCGGAGCAGTGGAAGGGCGGGGCCCGTGGTGACTCTGCCTTTTGCTGTGGGAGGGGGCTGCCGGGCTGCCCCCCCCAGCGGCTGTCCCGTGTTGCCTCCCCGGCAGCAGCGGTGAGCCTCCAGGACCCCACATCCGTGGGGATCATGAGAGAAGATGTTCACACGCATTTTCACACGGAGCTTAAGAAGCCGAGATCGCTCCGTCCCCAGCGCCCCTTACGGTCCCGGGTCCCAGCTCCCCCGATGCACTGGCCGTCTCCGGGGCTCGGGCGTGCGGGGAGACCCCCAGGACTTCCACGACACCCTTTCCCCCTCTGCTTTCAAAGGTGTCGCACGAGGTCGACTTCCGAGCGCCTCAGCAGCACCTTTTCCTCTGCAGATTTTTTTCATCGGTTTCCTCTATTTGGAACGTTTGTCACTTCCCATCTTTATTTTTTCCAGTATTGTCCCTGCTGCTAAAACGCGCCAGGCTCTGCTCTGTGGTGTCGCCTGCTCTGGTCTCAGAGCCGTTTTTGTCCCAGTCTGTCTTGCAGCCGCTGCTCCCTGTGCCTGCTCTCGGCTCCTCGGTGGAGCTCTCGCATTTTTAACCCCGTTTTCCGCCGCTCGCCTGTGTGGGGAGTACCTGGATCACGTTACAATGGCTCTTTTCATCATAAGGAAAAGGAGTATGGACTCTGAGCATATGTTAGGTGACTTGTTGCAGCAGAAACGGGACAGGGCTTTAGAGTTAGATGAAGCCGAATTTGAATTCTGATTCCGTCACAGCGGAGCTGATGTGCTTGGGAAGTGGCCGCTGCCCTCTAGGGCTAGACCCCCTCTTCCTGCTCCGCTAAAAGGGGGGTGAGCAGGGCGGGGACTGGACCTGGGGGGGTGAGCGCACAGTACAACGTGCAGTTGGTGAATTACAGCACTGTACCCCTGAACCCCATGCAATTGTATTAACCAATGTCACCCCAATAAATTCAATAAAAATATCCACTGCGCTCTGCCCACGTGGGAGATGTTTGGGAGACGTTATTAAATAAAATGGGTGGACACTCTTCCCGGGTAAAGCTCAAACTCTGGAATACGGAACACTTGTTTCTTCCAAAAGTATCTATGTTTTGAATCCTTGAATGGTCGGTAAATCTGAATAAGTTGTATCACATCATGAAAAAGTAGGGGCAATAACGCTGGCCTTCTCAGATCACCGGGGCGCGCAGACTCCGGGAGTGGAGGGCACAACCGGGGTCCCGTGGGAAGTGCTCGGCGGTTACAGGCGGCGTAAGTACCGTTTCGTTGCAATCTCATCCTCACTGAGAGCGAGCCAGTGGAATGCCACCTTGCAGGAGGCGCAGCTACAGGGCCCGGCCTTGAGGCATTCACAGTCTTTTCAGGGAGGAGGAACTTGCCCCAGAAACACCTCCGGCACGTGCGAACGCGCCTGAGCTTTGAAGACCCCTGTGTGGTCGTCGCCAGCACTGTGAGCGGACACCCTCCAGGGCGCGTTTAGTGTCGGAAACTAGGGGGCAGGGTGCTCGCTGGCCCGGGTGCTGGACCCGGGGTTGCTGCCCGGGCCCCTCGGACTCTGCCGGGGGTGCTGCTGGCCTCCACGCGGGGCTGCTTCCATGAGAGAGAGTGGCAGCGGCGGGGGGTCAGTGTCACGGGAGCCCCCAAGAGCAGAGCGCAACCTCGGGGGTCCAGTAGTGAGAGACGCCTTCGGGGAGGTCACATTGGAGATGGACCGAGGAGGTGAATGGCTGTCCTCGGGTGGGGTGACGGAGGGTGTGGCGTGATGACGTCGGGAGGCGGTCCAGGAGTTTCCTGGGCTGTGCTTTCTGGGAACACGTAGCAGAGGACGGGCATGCGGGGACGAGAGGAGGAAGGCTGGGATGCAGGCTTGCGCCGGGGGGAGCGGGGCCTGGAGTCCTGTGCCCCGAGGTTGGGGGGAGACTGTGAGAGCGGGCCGGGCTCTGCGCCACTTGGCAGAGCAGCTGGGACTCGTGGAAAGCGAAGAGAGTGGGCCAGGACTTCCGTGGGAGGCCTGCAAACACCTGGGAACGCCTGGAAACGTTCCCTGAAGGGGGTGTGAGGCCCCTGGACACGTGGCAGGGCCCCTGCCAGTGAGAAGGGGCGTGGGGAGGAAGGGCGTCCCAGCGGGGTGCAGAGGGGAGGGAAGAAACCCCAGGGACAGAGGCCCTGTCACTGGTTTCCAAAGAAACGGCAGATGCGTACCTCGGAAAAGGCCCAATGCAGACTTCGGCCCGGGCCACCCTGCCCAGCTCACTGCGCGCGCGAGCCTTCGTGCTGGTCTGTCAGTGGCTTGCATCTTCCCATCTCCACAGAGCAGGCCCTTGAGTAACTTGGTCTTGTGATCGCGTCGATGGGAGGCCCTGGGAACTTCACTCTTGTTACAGCGATCAGTTTACAGGAGGAGTCGTTTCCTCATCCATCACTTCGCGTAAAGTCTCAGAGCGCGCCCACAGCCACTGCGGTCTTCCTGTTGCACTAGCGCTAACACGGACAGTCCGAGTTTGACCAAGAGGGGCCCCAGAGGCAGCGCGAGTTTGTACTGTCACAGGCCACGCCCCCACAAACTCGGGGACCCTTCGCGTCCCAGTCCTGCAAGCGTGCTGCTGGCGTCCCCGTTTCCCAGGTCAGCTGTGACAGGGCGCATGCAGCCTGGTTCGTGGGTCGCTGACCAATAATAGCGCGCGGGGACTCCATGTTCCATGTTTGTCCACACGTTACTGCGCAGCATTACGTCGTAAGCGAAAGAAAACGCACGCCGCTCCTGGAAGGGCGCGGGGGTGGGGGAGTGGGGCGCGGTAACTCGTTCAGAAATGTCGCTGTCGCCACTGTGAGTGATGCTCACTTTTTCTCTCCCTCCCAACTGTCTCGGCCAGTGTTTGTGAGGTTCAACTCCAGCCACGGCTTCCCGGTGGAGGTGGATCCCACCACCAGCATCTTCCAGCTCAAGGAGGCGGTTGCTAAGCGACAGGGGGTTCCAGCCGACCAGCTGCGGGTGATCTTCGCGGGGAAGGAGCTCCGCAACGACCTGGTGGTGCAGGTGAGTCTCCCTCCGCGGGCCGGGCCCTGGGACGAGGCCCGGCCCGTCGCTCTGGCTGCGCGCGCTGGCGAGCTGACATTCATGCCCGAGATCTAATAGAATAAATAGTGCCTGGGGATTCCTTGAACTTTACTCCGCACCGCTCCATTAATTCTGACCTTCTTAATTATGCATCGAAACAGCAAGCGGGACGGATCGGAAGAACGACCCTGAGTGAGCGCGCCGGGGCGGCAACAGGCGCGCCTGGCTCGGTGAATAAATGTTTACTGACTGCAGGAGCAGCGAGGCACGGCTTCGGTGTCGGCTCAATTTCTACCTCCCTTATTCCCTTTGAATCTTAATGAGGACGGATGCGAATAAATTGTTCCAAATCAGGCTGCTCACGCGCGCTGCGCGGGGAGGGATTTGTGACCCAAGTGGGACCCCTGGAGGCCAGTGGGGCGGCTGCGGCTGCGACGGGCGGAGGAGGCGCGGGGCTCAGGGCCCCACGCACTGCGCGGCCAGCGTGGGGGTTCCCGCCCCACGGCCATCGCCCTGAAGCCGGTGGTGCCGCCCGGCACAAGCCCGCCTCGGTGGTTAATGTCTGCAGCTCGGGCGCGATCTCCCCTAGAACAGGCCCCCGCGACGCTGGCAACGGGCGGGGGGGGGGGTGCGCGTCTTCTCTCCTCCGTTGGGGGTGTCACTCAGAGCAGTGCCTTCTGTAGGAATAAGGGGAGACCTCGCTAGGGGACCAACGGACCGTGCTGGCCCCTCTAAGTGGAAGCCAGCAAATACAGTTCCACGGGGACTGAGGTGCTTCTTTGGGAAGGCCGGGGAGGCGGAACGCTGGCTTGTGGGCGGGTCACGTGGCGCTGAGGACCCGCAGACGCATGGGCCCTTTCTCAGCAGGCCCGGATGGACCCCTGGGGGGCGCTGTGCGGGGGCGGCTGTGCACAGGGGGCTGCGTGTCCGGCTGTGGTGTCTCTCCTGGTACTGCCATCCCTGTGGGCCCCACCCCACCCCACCAGGGTGTTAGCTGCTCAGGGAAATGCATTAAGAATTAGGGTTCAGAAAAGGAGCTATAGAAATGCAAGCCCCCCCCCTTTCCAGAGCCTCTCCCGCAGATGCAGACGGACAGACGGTCTGGGAGGCACCTGCCCTTGGAGCCCTGACAGCTGTGCTCAGCTGGCGGGCGATGGCTTTTGATAGGGGAAGTGCCTGTGCTCAAAAGTGTTTTCATTTTTTATTTCCGTGAACTAAAATGCTTTTACTGTACCTGCCAACCTCGAAATCCAAGGATGTTTCCTTCACAAACAACCGATGTTAAAGCGTCTCCTCAAACGGAAACGTTTTCTGTCACCAGAAAGGTTGGAGCTCCAGGTCCCGCACGCTCCGGCACCTCTCCTGTGTGAGCCGAGGGGTTAGACTAAGTGCGACAGATGACTAATTTTTGTTACCATGTTGTGTAAAATCTTTATTGATTTAGGTTCTCTATTTGGACAAATGCTTCATAGACACTTGGGAGGATCCCAAGGACGGGCGGGACCCACAGTGCGTCTGTGGGTGCAGCCCTCGAAGGAGGGTTTTAACGCAGAAGCATGGGGCTGAGCGATACGGCACCGGAGAAGGCTATCAGCCGTCTCCCTGGCGTAACCCAATAGCGCACCACGAGTGCACAAGGTCTTACTGCCCGTGCATGTGGAAACACGAGTGTGAGGGGGTCCTGACGGCGGAGAAAGCTGGTCACAGTGGAAGGCCCCCTACCCCGAGGGCCTCCGGGCAGAATCCAAGCTTGAGCAGCTCCCCAGAGCTGGGGAGCGAGCGTGGATGTGGCGGGCTGGGGGAAAGCATGGGTGCCGTTCTCCCAGGCCCTGGAGGAGGTGTTGGAGACTGGGCGGGAAGGGGGCTGGAGCTGCACTCACAGGGTCTCGGCCGACTTGGCACTGGGGTCTCCTGCGTGCGGAGGGACGGGAGCTGGACCCCGTGTGGCCGCCGTGGGGGTGATGACCTCTGCACGTGGTGCGGCGGTGCCCGCAGGAGAGCAGCTTGGGGCCTGTCCCGCAGGCGGGCGGTGGAGGACTCAGGGGTGGAGCCCAGGGGCTCGCTTGGGCCTGTGTCTTCACACGGATTGGTGCTTCTCCACTGTAAAGAGTTCTCTCGAGCCCCTGCAACTGTGCAGGGCCCTCTTTAAGGACACCCGGGCAGAGGCACACACTGTGGGTCATCGTGGGGACCAGGAGCCACCCCTTCCAAGGGAGCAAGGGGCGGGCCCGCAGAGGAGGCAGCGTCCATCCGGCTGGCTCTTCTGTGGATACTCGACCAAATCGCCGGCAAGGACCCTGGTGGGAAGATGGAGGCTGGTGAAGACCAGGGCCTTGGGACCGGGGGACAGCAGTGGTGACCTGGTGGCCTTCAGGCCTCCAGTCCAGGAGCGTGAGACACGGGCGGGCTTGGCAATGAGCGAGGAAGGAGAGGCAGGCACTGCGGGAGCGGCCGGGGCTGTGCTGGGCTGACTGTTGCTACCCCTGGCCTGGGGCGGGGCTGCCGGTCTGTAGCCATAGTCTGCGTGGAAGTGCACATGCATATTCTGATTTTCCTAGCTTTGTATCACGAGCACTTTCCGTGTTATATAACCTTCACTTCTTACTGTGTGGGTGGCACTCTCTAGAGTTCATATCGTAACAGTGTCACTCAAGCATTTGGGCAGTGTCTGATTTTTAATATTACAACTTAAGGCAAAGGAGTATTTAAAATGTATCTTACCTACTTGGAGAATGTGGCCGCCCTGTGTCTCAGTTTGCTCATTTGTAAAATAGGAACAATAATACTACCTATCTCACTGGTTAATTTCTAACCAGTGAGAAGACTAAATTGGTTAATATCTGTAAAGCTCTTTTAACAAAGTAAGACATACAGGAAACTCTCTATCACTGATTTTCAACCTCTTCCATCTCATGGCACACATAAAGTAATTACTAAAGTCCTGCGGCACACCAGAAACACATATTTTTTTTTGCCCATCCAACCAAAAAATGGGTATAATTTTGATTCATTCCCATCAGAGGTCTATTGTTATATTGGCTATTGTCATTTTTTGATTTGACAGTCTGAGGGAAAAGAAGTCAGCGCCCCAACTCAGTACCCAGGTGTTGGTGTTAAGAGTTCCTGCGCGTTGTAAGAATTCTTGCAGTACGTTGCGGAAAGCTGCTGCTCTGTGTACACGTTAGCATTCCTTGGCCTCCGCACCCCGATTGTCCTTCTCATCAGACGTTACTCCAGCATCTCAGAGGTTACCTTACACAGCACAAAACTACTTTGTCACGGGTCACACAGCAAATTCAGGAGCCTCAGCAATAATGGGATACATATGTCATTGAGGAAAACGTGTGTGTGTGCACTTGCGTGTGTGCACCTGTGTGTGTGCACTTGTGTGTGTTTGTGTATTTTAACTGAAAAGAACTTTGTGGAGTTTATACATAAATATTTGACCCTTCCAAATACAGGTTTTACTTACCTTAAGAATAGCAGCAGAACTTGAATTTAGCTAGCTCAAAAAGACTTTACATTTCCTCTGAATAAATGTAGTGAAGAGAGAAACCTGTAGCAGCATTGTTCAGTGGAGATTTGTCATGCTATTATTGCTTTTAAAATAGATCTTCATGAAGTGGGTGTCGGCTGTACTCTCTATTTATCTGAAGCAGATTGGAAAGAGTTACACTTTTTTCTACTTCATCATCAATATGCTTCTGTGCATTTCTTTATTATTTTCCTTATACCTATAAGTATGCAATATAAAATATTCATCTTGGGTATGTTATTCATAATGCTTTGATTTTTTTTGTAAAGAGCTCTTATTAACTCATGCAGCTGAGTATTCAGGGCCCATTAAATAGCGAGTCACTCCTCCTACCCAACACACTACGTAGCAAAAATCCCTGAAATCACCTCCACATCGTTCCACATTTATTATTCAGAATTCTACAAGGAAAATGAGGTTCTAATGTGGTTGTGTATACCCAAACTGATCAGCTCTGCGGTTAGATGGACTGTTAAAATGACAGGGACTTCAGTATTTATATGATTTTGTCTGAATAGAATTCATATAAGCCGTGTTATTATTAATGTCATTTATTAGCCAGTGTATTGATTAGCCAAGGTTCCCCAGAGAAACAGAACCAATATACGTGTATGGACATATATTGTGTGTATGTACACACACACACAGGTGGGTAGGTAGGTAGGTAGGTAGATGATAGAGGGTCGGCTTTAGCTCAGGCGGTTACCGTGTCATGGCAGACACTCGAGAGACGGGAGATTTACATAGGAGGGATGGTCTCCCGTAACCACAGAGGGCCACCAAGTCCCCCAAGAGCTGCAGTCTGCAAGCTTCGCTCCAGTGGGAGCCCGAGCGCCAGAGAGCCAGGAGGGGCAATGGCGTGGCCCCGCTCCGTGGGCGGACAGGCTGGGGACCCAGGGAGGCCTGGCGCTGCGGCTCACGCGCAAAGGCAGGGGAAAGAGAACCGGTCTGGACTGGAACAGAACCGGTCCGCCCCTGGGCGGAAGCAACTTCTTTTCATTCCCCGGAGGCATTCAGCTGACTAAATGCCCCCCCCCACCCCCGTATTGCTCAGTGCCCTGATTCCAACGCTCCCCACCCAAGCACAGCCTCCCAGACATGCCCAGACCCACGTCTGACCGGAGGCTGGGGCACCCATCCACCCATCCACAAATTAATTTGTCCACGTGTCCAATTAATCATCACAGCCAGAACGTGGAAACCTGTTCACATTGTCTTAATGTCACAGGGAAGTTATCCTGGTCGCGTTCTTTTTGTAATAATAAATTAGATTTACAGTATAAAAAAATAGGACCCATACACATTTTTGATTTGTAAAAATGGGTTCCTCCAGATGGATCCTTACACATTTCCTTCAACGAGTACTCAATTTTACGATGTTTAAAATGTGTATGCGCATTTGGGGGCCGTCACTGCATAGAACAGGCCATTCTGCGGCCGGTCT